TTTTTTTTTCTTTAAAAAAAAAGAATTATGGTTTTGAATTGGATTACGCCAAAAACCGTAGAGAAAGAATTAAAGGCCACATAAATCAGTGGCACAGAGAAGAGATGAAAGAGAGCTCGTGTGTTTCTGTGAACCCACCTCTCTTCATCTATGTGGAGCCCCCATTTTCTCTCATGTAGCTATTTTTTTCTGAATTTCTTCTGCTTTTCCATTGGAGCATTTTGAGGTCAATTTGGGTGGTGATTGTTTTTTGGAAATGGGGGAGCCGAGGGGGAGCACTAATAGCCGGTGGAATTGGGAGGTGGCGGGGTTCGAGCCCCGGAAATCGGCGGAGCAGAGAGAAGATTACAGGAAGCCAACGGTGGCGCCGCCGTCCACTGGGCGGCGGTACTCGATGTCCATTTCGTCACATTCTGAGCTCTCGAAGCACGCGGTTAACTCCAAGTTGTTGCGCTTGACAGACAAAGTGAAGGTGCCCTTTTTTTGTTTTTTTTTTTTTTAAAGATTAAATTTTTCCTAGATATATGTTTTTTTTGAATGATTCTTAGGTGTCTTAGCTTTCAAATCTTTTACACTATTTTTTTTTTCTTTTATTTCCATGTTTTTAACCAGCTGATTTCAGTTGTCTAGTGGTTAGTATGTCCATGGGTATTGCATAAATTTTTCCTCCCTTTTTTTATTGATCGTTAGGTTGGTACTTTGAAGTGATTAGTGGTGATGTTTTTAATGGGAACAAATTCATGAACTTCTTTTTAAGCACTAAGACAATGTCTTATGATTTATACTTTTTGCTCTGGTAATATAGGTGGTGCCGTGTTTGTAATATATCCGATTATTGGGATTTTTGTAAGTATGGAAACTTTCTAATACTCATTTCTGCAAGATAAGCTCTAAATTGGCAAATGTGTGAGTGTTTTAGGACGTAGTGAACTCGGATATTTGAAACACATACAATACTCCGTTACTGATTTATACAAACCTCATAAATGTAGCCAAGTTTATGTTTTTAGTTGAATTGATTAGTAATCTTTGATATAATTGAATAATGACAACTCTGTAAAGTTTTTTTTTTGATATCAGTGGTAAATGAGGAGGTTTATATCTGTATTCTGTCGTATTTGCATCAGAGAAAAGATACATTAGTAGTTATTTATGATATACAAAGTTGGCAAGATACTCATTCATGACAAGAGAATTGGAGAAATTTTAGTACCACGAATTTGTGTTTTTTCATATTGGAAATTATTTGTGTTATACTTCTCGTTAATTATTATGTCCTTATTCCAGTATATCTACATAATTTTCAAGGAAATTACTCCTGTGAGTCATTATTGATTTTGAATGCTGACTGCTGAAAATGCTAGTCCAGTTCCAAAAGCTAATTCGTTAACTTGAGAACAAAGCTAGTACAGGAATATAAATAAATTAGCGAAACGATATAGTAGGTGCTGTCTCTAAGAGGTGTCGCCCTTTCTTTCTTCACACCTCCATCCTCCACAACCTATTGTTGCTTGGATATCACTGTCCTTGGTTGAGATTTTAATAGTAGCCAACTTTAGTCCACTATAATCGGAGATTGATGCAGAAAACTGAGGTTTACTTGCCTTCTTATTTTTTAAGAATCATTAGCTTCGCCATAATTTTCATATGATTTGGATGACATGTCATTTGTTTTCCCCTGTCGTGTGATACAAGCATACCATACTATTCCAAACTTTGCATGCCAAACTGGTTCTTTGCTTTGTTTGCGCAGCTTGTTAAAGAAGATTATCTGCAGTTGAGGCAAGAAGCTACAGATCTTCAAGATTATTCAAGTGCAAAACTTGATCGGGTGACACGATACTTAGGTGCACTTGCTAATAAGACTCGCAAGCTAGGTAACATCTATCACTGTGGATCAAGAAATCGTGTTGAAAATAGACTAATGACTCTATGAGTAGTTACTACAAATTTCTATACTGGTTATTAGAATGACTAGCAATGATTGAAGGACTTACTCTTCTCCTGCAGTAACTTTTACATTCATTTGCATTTGTTTAGTGGTGTTCCTGCTCACTTTTACCTTCTATAATTGTGTACATCAAGATTCTTGATTGCATATTATTATCAACGACTTCTTCTCCAAATGCTAATTTTTCTATATAAGAGATATCTTCCTTTCTAATGTCGTATGAAGTAAATTTGACTATTTTTTTAATCAATTTGATTGAGTGGAAAGAAATTATGACCAATCTCAGATCAGGCTGCCCTGGAAGCAGAAGCTAGAATTTCTCCACTGCTCTCCGAGAAGAAAAAGTTATTTAATGATTTATTGACGGCCAAAGGTGCTGACTTTTCTCCTCAAGATTACACTTTCCTTTTCTGAGCTACATACAAAGATATATATTATTGGGAAAAAGCTTTCTTTAGATCATCACATTTATCTGAACCTGGACCTACTAACTACAGGAAATGTAAAGATGTTTTGTCGTGCAAGGCCACTTTTCGAAGATGAAGGTCCATATGTTGTTGAATTTCCTGATGATTATACAGTTCGCATAAATACTGGGGATGATAGTCTCTCCAATCCCAAGAAGGATTTTGAGTTTGACAGAGTTTATGGACCTCATATTGGGCAAGGTAGTGTTCCTGTTGGTGATTCAATTTATTTATTTCAGCTGGTCAAACTATTCTGTTAACTTATATACTTCCTTTGGCAGCCAATCTTTTTGCTGATATTCAGCCTTTTGTTCAGTCCGCGTTTGATGGATACAATGTTTCTGTGTTTGCATATGGACAATCCTGCTCAGGGAAGACGCATACTATGGTCTCTTTTTTTTTGTCCCTCTCTCAGTCCTTCAATATTTTTTTGGGTTCGACTCGGTGTATCTGTTTCTATGATAGTTGATGCATTTCTGTCCTTTTTTGGCCATCCAGCGAAACTTAAATATTTATGACACCTAGTACTTGCACAAAATCATGCATTTTGTTCCCTGTTTTCTGGTTATGTGTTGGCATTGGTCACATAAATGCATTCAGTTATGACGATATGTCTTCCTCATGATGCTGACATACCATCTTTGACAGGAAGGATCTAGCCACGACCGTGGTTTATATGCTCGATCTTTTGAAGAGCTTTTTGACTTATCGAACTCGGATGCTACTTCAGTTTCTCGTTACAGTTTCTCAGTTTCAGTCTTTGAGCTTTATAATGAGCAGGTTTATTTCCTTCGGTGGCGGAATTGTTTAATATAATGCCTGATTCACTTCAACTTCTTTTTGGTGGGTTATTTGCATCCATTTCTGATGATGCTTGAAGTTTTGACTTCCTTCCCCTTTGATATTCGGATTCTTGGTGAATGTCTTCCATCTAGTCTGTTAAATCAATGATTCCAAAGGAATTGGATTTTGTCAGTTCAAAAACTTTAGCCCTGATAATTATGAAATTGGTCCTATCGTTTTACGAAGTTGAATGTGGGTTTCCTTCGTCTATGCTGAATTTTGTGGCACATTGATTAAGGCAGTATCAACTAAATGTTATGCAAAAACAAGAAGATATTTCATTATTATTAATACATGACTCAAGATCAATAAGAAAATGTGAGACCATAATCGAAATTATAATGTGCAGTAACATGTAATTGATGCACCGAAATTATATCTATTTTATAATTTGAAATCATAATTATTTTTATGCACCGATAAAACTAAGATTTCTACTTATGTGGCTGAGAGACGTTAACGTAACTTTTAAGTTGACTTCACTAAGTTTTTATCTTCTGAAGAAATTACTAGACTCTCGGTCTCACTTTAATCTATTAACATTAAATATGATCAATGTTAATATTTCTTTTCTTTTAAACCTATCTGGGATACTTTGTGAACTGTATGCTTTTTGCTCAGAAGATGTAGGGAATGTGGAGTTTGTTTAGGTTCAATTTTTATTTAAATGCCTCAACCAATGCCAGAATGGGAGACGATTTTCAAAGGAGGTGGAAGACAAAGCTTCTTACTTCAAGTGAAATTAGATGGATGCAAATAATTAATCTTTCAAAGTTATATCACACTGGACAATGATTGAAATATCTGATATTTTGGATCCAATAATGTTTTTGCAGATAACAGATTTGCTTTTGGAATCTGGAAATGCACTATCAAAGGTCCGTATTGGGTCATTAGATTACAGTGTGGAACTTGTGCGGGAAAAAGTTGAGAATCCAATAGAATTTTCCAAAGTTCTCAAAGCAGCCTTCCAAAATCGAGGAACTGATGCCTTAAAGTTCAAAGTTTCCCATCTGTATGGTTTATGCCCATTATGCTACATTATTATCTTGAGGCATATTCTACTTATATATGTTCTTTTATGTAACATGTTTAATCTTCGCATTGGTTCTCCATTGGCCCTTATGTTTCTTTTGTGATGGAATTCAACTGGGAAGAATGTGAGCCATTAATTTATAAACCACTGGAAAACTTTTCATCTGCTCGTATGAAATAAACATTAAGCATGTTAGACTTTGGAGTAGTTTGCAATTGGAAGGTCTTATGTAGCACACTAACTTAATGAATCAGCAGATCCTCGTTGCTGATTCTATTTGGCTCTATTAGGATGGTGTATTTTTATCATTGGATATGATAAATGGACCTGAGTAGAACTCATCCCCAAAAGTTAGCTCAAAAGGAGAGGGTCTACAACCCACACTTGTACACAATAACAACCCAGTAACTAAACAATGTGGGACTAACATAACTCTAACACCCGCTCTCACACGTAGCTCTTATACCATGATAAAGGGGCCTGAGTAGAACTCATCCCCAAAAGCTACTTCAAAGGGAGAGGTTCCCCAACCCTATACAATGACAACCCAGTAACTAATCAATGTGGGACAAACATATGTATATAACTTCTAACAGGATCACCTGCCAAGATGGGTTAGTGACAAACTTTCTTTGATTAGCTGTGGCTATTTTCCTGTGGGTATGTGTCACAAGTGTAACTCTGACAGTGGAAACTCTTACTCATGTATTGTTGATCTGAAGTCCAAAGGCAGTGCCAGTGTCAGAGGAGACCTCCATTCCTTTGGCGACATTTGGTCTTATATCTGTCTTTAAAGATTTTTTTTTTTTTTTGACTTTTTAGAAACATTATCTTCCCAACCCTTTCCTACACATCTTTGTACCAAACACGTGTATCTAATAGAAAGTTAGCAGGATGCAGCTAATCCGAGTGGGAGATTGGTTATGACTTATGAATGCTGATGTTCTCATTGAGAGGTTTTAGTTGAAAAGTTCATTACTTCTCCATTGTGGAAGAAGTTTAGTCTTAGGGAGGTTTACATATGAATCATAGAAGTTTTTCAGGTTGATAATAAGATAAGGGTGATCTTCAGATGGGGTTGTCAAGGTTGGACTTATAAGTGATTGAAATGGAACGACTTGCGATGTTGAGGATCTTAGTTGGATTCGTCAGGTCTGATGTCATCTTTGTGTATAGGACTTTCTAAAACAGTGCAACTAGGATTTTCCATTCTTTTCTATGTCTAAAAGTTAAGTAGGAAGATAACCTTTACTGATCTCCACAGTTTTCCATATAAAATTCAAAACAACAGAAGTATGCCTTGTCCCATGTAATTTAGTTTCTATTATATTTGCATGTTCTTCCATAACTGAATTCATTTTCTAGAATATGTAGAACTTCTTTGCCTAACAAGGCATTTCATGTAATTTTCTTAAGCAAACGGCTGTGATTTGTAGATATATGTTCTTCTTGTCTTGCTTTCTTCTTGAAAAGGAAATATATCTGTCTTTTACATTCATCTAATTAAATTAATTTTTCTTTCCATTGTGTTGTTTAGGATTGTCATGATACACGTATACTATAAGAACTTGATTACTGGTGAGAACATGTATAGCAAGCTTTCTCTGGTGGATTTAGCTGGAAGTGAGAGTAAAAGTGTGGAGGAAGAAACTGGTGAACGTGCAACAGAGTTGTTGCATGTCTTAAAGTCTCTCTCTGCGTAAGTGAAAATCCTTTTGTTCTTTCAGTGCAATGTGATTATTTATCTTCTCGTAGGCACCTTACCTTGCTTCTTTTGAAATTGGTGACTATTATGAATTTAATGCTCCTTTCATTTATGAACATGCTAAACCATTTTGACTAGCTAAGGGTTGCAGCTGGAGAGATTTTTCTAGTTGGTTTGTTTTATACAGCTTTTGTTGGAATCTTACGGTGCAACAGACTGTTTGTTCATTGTTATGCCATGCTGATACTGTTGCACTTTGTGTCTTTGTATGTATGTTCGTGATATAGTGTTTTCTTCCATGCATGAGAACGGTGAAGAAAAGCCTAATTGCCTCATTTTGATGTGTGATGCTAAGTAATGCGTATTGGGATTTTTATTGTGATGGTTATATTATTTCCAGTTAAAGTGAAATTATATGCTTGTTACAACGAGTGAGGACCATAGGTTTTACTTTACTATAGTCCTATAGAACTTTCTTTTTCTTTTTAAACCTTTTCCTCCTTTGTTCTACTTCATCATTGTCACGATTTATGTGCAGATTGGGCGATGTTTTGGCATCTGTGACCTCTGAGAAGGATGATATTCCATACGAAAACTCAGCACTTACAAAAGTTCTCGCAGACTCGCTGGGTACTTTTTCCTTTTAAATGTTATAATCTTGTTTTTCTGTGATTTATGTTCTGATCTTGTACGAATTCCCACAAAAAAGGTGTCTCAAGGAGTTAAGTACCTTTTCCTGGCATTAATTTCTAGCCTGCAGATTTCCATTGTCATATTTGGTGTGAAGTTTGTGCCAAGAGTTTGACAATTGACTGACCTTACTTGAATTGGGAAAGTAATCGTAGTCTATGTGATGTATTTAAAGCTGCCTGAATCCTGTGGGTTTGTACAATAATGTAACTTTGTCATGAGAATATGCGCGCTCTTCATCCGAAAATTTTCCGACAGCCTATCTAAAGACATAATTAGCTGAGCGTAGAGCATGAAGTATCTCAAGAATGGGAGTATATGCCACAATGTATGCGAATAGAGTTGTGAAATCACTTGCTGGATGATCCAAAAAGGGTTAACCTGCAAGACTGGTTGTTTCACTCTTTATGAAAGTGAAAACTAGTTATAGAGTATCTTAGTCCAAGTCCCTTCAACCTGTCTAGAAGAGAATTTTCCTTATGTTTGAAATGCACACTAATCTGAACCGTTTCATCATGAAACTAACTACATGGACACTTAGGGGGCGATTGGATATGGACTAAACCAGTTATGATCCAACTTGGTGAGTTAAAAAGTGAGTTATTTTGAATAAAGTAGTGTTGAAATTAAATAATATTTAAAATGTTAATGATTAAAGTTAGTATAATGTAAAAGTAATAGAGAGATTATAGGAAGTGCTAGGTAGTTAAAATTATGTGAGTGGATGAATAGTGAATTAATGTTGATGTGATGTGTGATAATGATTGATTGCTATTATTTAATTATATTTATAAGAAGTAGGAGAGTTGATTTGACTTAGATTTTGAATTAGGTGATTGGATATGAAACTACTCAACCGGTTGAGTTGGATCATAACTCATATCCAATCAAAATTCAAGTCAAATCAAGATATATTCATGCATGGCCATTGTTGTTTCGTTACTTCTACTGATGTTCAATCTTTTCTTTTATGTCTATATTTATATCGAATTCTCATGGATCATTCTATTTTCCATGCCCTGTCTTCTTTTGAACATGCATTTCATTATGCAGGTGGAAGCTCCAAAACACTGGTGGTTGTTAACATCTGCCCTAACATGGCAAGCATGTCTGAAACACTATCATCCCTTAATTTTTCTGCTAGAGCCCGAAATGCTATGTTGAGCCTTGGGAATCGAGATACAATCAAGAAATGGAAAGATGTTGTAAGTTTTCCTAACTTGTACTTGTGTTGTGTAAAAATGCTGGTATTTTTCATGCCAGCATGCACAAGTTATGCTATTAATTGGAAAGAACAAAATAATATGTTAATTTGATCATGCTTTATAGGCATTAAGTTCTTGAAAACTACCTTGCCTTTTGCCATGTTCTCTATAGTCCCTCAAAGTTGGAAAGGTTTAGTCATTTTCATTGCGATCAGTTCAGTGGTTATTTTTGTGACGCGTGCTGATACTAAATGAATGTAAAGATGGTTTGTTGTGATGGTTTCTTAAATAAATTTCTGCTTCAACGTTTCTTGTAGGCCAATGATGCACGTAAAGAATTGCTTGAAAAGGAAAAGGAAATTAGCGATTTGAAGTTAGAAAGTATGGGCCTAAAACAAGATTTAAGGCATGCCAACGACCAATGTGTTTTACTCTTCAATGAAGTTCAGAAAGCCTGGAAGGTTTCTTTCACATTGCAGTCAGATCTGAAGGTTTGTTATATCAAGCTTTTGCAACGTTCAATGTTCTTATAGTATCCCCCTCCCCCCTCTCTCTCTCCATCCCGCCCCCTCCCCTCCTCCATACTCTTTCTGTAATTGCTAAATAAGAATCCATACCATTGTTTCACATTGTGTTGGCTAGTTAGGGAAATTTTGGCTTGCCAACCGATTTTATCTTTGTGAAGTTAATGGGTTCGTCTTGAGTACTTGAACCATACCCCAAATAAAGATGCGATCTGTTATCTGTATCACATTTTATGGTTAAATGTTACTGTTAGAGAGATGGTTGTGTGGAAAAGCTATAATAAGAAGTTTGTTTGGCAGATTCCAACTAATTGAACATTTGATCAACTTAATACAGTCAAAGAGATAATCATTTTTCAGATAGGATATCCTTTAACTTTTCTCTTTTCATTACTTCGTTTAGTCAGTTATGAGTGGTCTTTAAAGTGGTACCTTGTGTTGCATATGTTGTGTTACAAATAATGGATTATCATTTAATCTCGTACTACAGAAAGATAATCACCCCATTTGTAGTTGGTATAGGATGCTTTAGCTGGATTGAAAATGCTTTTATGTCCATATGTAATGGAAGCAAGCCATAGCTATCCGTTGGTTGCTTTTTTTCCAAAGATTTTCCCTTATTCTTTTGAACTCCATTGGTTATTGGCTTTTTATTTTTACAATTCACTCTAATAAGTTTGTACGGTTCATTCTCTCAGTGTTGCACCTCTCGTTTCTAGGGACATATCAGTATCTTCGTGTTCATTAAAAACCCTAGGACTAGGTTTTTTTTTTTTTTTTTTTTTTTGGAAGAGGCGTGCCTTCAGGTGCCTTTGGTGAGAAAACATATCAATTATGCAGAACTCTCTTGAGTCTTGATAATATGTGGATTCTGATTCAAGAGTATTACAGAAGTCTGAGAAGGATATTTCTAACCATAAAAAATTCGTCTCATGTTTGTTTTGCAGGCAGAGAATATAATGCTTGCTGATAAGCATAAGATTGAGAAGGAACAAAATATGCAACTAAGAAATCAAATTGCTCAATTATTACAATCGGAGCAAGAACAGAAACTGCTGATAGAACAAAGAGATTCAGCGATTCAAATGTTACAGGTTGGTTCAGACAACCTTCATTAATTGTTTTTTCAAATCTTAGTTTGTTTGTCATCATTGGGTATTAACTTATGCATTTTAGCTTTTAGAGGGTTTGAATTACTACATTTCACGCTTTGTGCAAAAGCAGAACATGGTTTTCATATAGTTCTTTTTTGTTTCTGGTGAAACATTCTCAATTTTAGTTTATATTTTTACTTAGGATCATTAATTCATTGTGTACTTTACATATGCTTCAAAACTGCATAATATTAAAGTGTCACTATGGTTTTCATTGGCAAGTGATGGTTTTTGTTGTATAAATTAAATGCTGGGTTGAGCATAATTTGCTGTAGAAATTAGATTAAAAAAAAATTATATATCTAAACCTTCAAGGTCCAAAATTGACCATAAATTGTGTACATTCCTCGAAGTAATGTTTGTGCGCTTTTAATCTTTTGTGCCGTTCAAGTAACATTATTCATAATATATATCTAAGGGAATTGGGAGTACAGCACACGATATTGAATTATGTTTAGCTGGCCTCAAATTGTGGTTAATCTTTCCGGTATTTAGGATCGATGCTACAAAAGGATGGCGGCATTGATGAAGATGTTAGGCATAGAATTGCAGCCTGTTGGTTGAAATGGCGTCAAGCTTCGGGCGTTCTCTGTGATAAGAGGGTGCCACAAAAGCTAAAAGGTAAGTTCTATAGGACGGCGATTCGCCCGGCGATGCTATACGGTGCTGAATGTTGGCCTACAAAAAGGCAACATGTCCAACAACTAAGTGTAGCAGAGATGCGGATGTTGCGTTGGTTTTGCGGGCACACAAGAAGAGATAGAATCCGAAATGAGGATATTCGTGATAGGGTCGGGGTGGCCCCAATTGAGGAGAAATTGGTTCAACATCGGCTGAGGTGGTTCGGACATGTCCAACGGAGGCCTCCTGATGCACCGGTGCGCAGGGGAGTTCTACAGCGGGCCGATGTTGTTAAGAGAGGTAGAGGTCGGCCTAAACTCACTTGGGAAGAGTCGGTTCAGAGAGACCTTAAAGATTGGAATATCTCCAAGGATTTAGCGGTGGTGGATAGGAGCGCTTGGAGACTAGCGATCAACGTGCCGGAACCGTGACTTTTGCTCCTTTCTCTTTTGCTCCAAATTTTTTTTTTTTTTTTTTTAACTACTGTTTCTATTGGGTTTCATCTCTAGCCTACCCCAACTTGTTTGGGACTAAAAGGCTTTGTTGTTGTTGTTGTTGTTGTGGCCTCAAATTGTGGTTAACAGTTGTGTTGTGTGCCAATGCCGGAAACTTTATGTATTACAAATGCATGAATTTCTCTGGCTTTATACAAATGTTTCTTCTTTTGAGGTTATGAATTTTCTAGGAGTGATAAATCACAACATTTCGTGTAGCAACCTTACCGAAAGATGTTTGATCCTCCACTATTGATACTTCTATGTAGGCCAAACTGAAGAGTGTTGAGTCACAACTAAACGAAGCTCTTTCAAATCAGACTAGATTATCAACTAGCCCTGGACCTCAGGCTGGAGAGCTTACAAGCAACAAAGCCGGGAGTGATGATATGGATTCTGCTGCAGTTACTCGAAGACTCGAGGACGAACTCAAAAAACGGGATGCACTCATTGAGGTACTTTATTGTGTTAACAGACTGATTTTTTTATTCATTTTTTATTTTTATAGACATTTTACCTCCTTGTAAGGAACGTGGTTGTCTTTACTAGCATTTTAATTCTTATCATGCTAGAAGACTAAGCTTGTTAACTTCTTTCTCTTCTTGTTTTCTTCTTTCTGGCAGAGGTTACATGAAGAGAATGAGAAATTGTTCGACAGATTAACTGAGAAGGCTTCCTTGGCAGGATCACCTCAGGTTTTTAATTTCTCTCGGTTTATGTCGGATGACCTGAGAGTTGCTTAGTCTTTTGCAGGCTGTTTTTGTTGACCATCTTCTGCTAAGCCTAGTTTGATGTTTCCCATGCAAATATACTTAATAGATCTGTTCTTTAGGTTTCAAGCCCATCTACCAGAGGACTATCTAGTCTGTCTCATGACATGGGAAGGTAATTTCCATGCTTGTTTGAGTGTCTTGAATTTCATTCTATCTTTTTTTTTTTTTCTTTTTTTGTGATTCTTAAATTTCCTTGACAGAAATGATAGCATGAACCCCAAAGGTCGCCCTGGTGATGTTTCATCACCTTTAGCCTCAGCCAAGGCAGAGAACAGTGTTGCCTTGGTCAAATCTGGTACTGATATTGTCAAGACGACCCCAGCTGGCGAATATCTTACTTCTGCCCTGAATGATTTCGACCCAGACCAATATGACAGTCTTGCTGCAATATCAGATGGAGCAAACAAGCTTTTGATGTTGGTACGTGTAAATCAAAATGTTCTCACACATCCAACTCCAGGTCTCATTGGTAAAATTAAAAGTCTGTTTGGTGGTTGCAGTTTCATGTTCCCTTGATAGTGAGTTGATTTTCATTAAGTAGTATAATTGAATTGAGAAGGGTAAAATGTTGCTTGTTTTGTGTGTTCTGATTTGCTTAAGATATTGTTCCAAGCGTATATACATGGAATGAAATTAGTATAAATGAAGAAGATTTCTCAATTTTGTTCTGGTTAGTACTTATTCATTCAGAACTTGGAAGTTTCTTTTCCCCTAATTTGGAATGAACCGCGCAAATGAAATATTAAGGATTTTTTTTTGCATTTTTTAGCTTGCCATGTTCAATATACAAACAAGTAGTATAGAACAACGTTGGGTATAACATGTGAAAGAAGATAGAAGGACAGATGCTTGGTGATTTTCCATATGATGCAGTAATAATAATGCTTTACATGCATTTTTATATGATTTGCCAGCAACTATTATCCTTATTAACACTCTTGTTTTAATACAACTTTTTCAATTTTGTTCCTCGACATTTTATGCTACTTCTGATTGTGAAATTATTGAAAAGATTGTTTTATAGTGGTGTTGAGCTTGAAGAATTCCTTATTGTACTTGCACCTTTTTGCACTTGTGGTTTCATGTCTCAACTTTTAAATCATTAAGATCCCTTTCTCCTCTTTCCCATTCTTTTTCTTCCCCTGAAAATTTCTTATGTGCAATTGTGTAGGTTCTGGCTGCAGTCATTAAGGCTGGTGCCTCAAGAGAACATGAAATACTTGCTGAAATAAGAGATGCTGTTTTTGCCTTTATTCGTAAAATGGAGCCAAAAAGGGTGATGGATACTATGCTTGTTTCTCGTGTCAGGATTCTCTACATACGATCCCTGCTTGCTCGTTCACCTGAGCTGCAATCAATTAAGGTGCTAATAGTTTTCTCTTCTCATTTGTTTGCATGCACAAAATTTCTTTATCACTGATACTATTCATTTTGTTGCAACTGAAAATTGAAAAGAAAAAATATTAAAGGAAATAATTTCTATTGTGTTACAAGGTTTCTCCTATTGACCGCTTTCTAGAGAAACCTAATAGCGGGCGCAGCAGAAGCTCTAGCCGTGGTAGCAGCCCAGGGAAATCTCCTGTGCGCTATGACAGCACGAGAAATATGCTGGTCGAGGAACAGATTCAAGGCTTTAAAGTAAATATAAAGCCTGAAAAGAAGTCAAAGTTGTCATCAGTAGTTCTAAAGATACGTGGAATTGATCAGGTAGCACATGGCACTTTTTCGCAATGTTTTCTGCTGTACTATTTGATGTAGTCTGTCTTGTCATTTCAGTCTATATGATCTAATTTTTGTTCAGTATTGATAATTGATGCTCTCTCGCCGTGTTACCTTAGACGAGGCACTAAGGTAGAGGTTGTAATTTAATCTCTATTCAACAATCTCTATTCAATATCGAAGAATTGAGACACTTCTGCCATAGAACCCGGCATTTCGTCACTTTTTTTTTCTCTTTGATGTATGAAAATGGTTGTTTGCAATCGTCACTCTGTAGTATTTTGTTTGACGCTTGAGCTTAAAATATGCAGGATACGTGGAGCAAGCTTATAACAGGTGGAAAACTCAGAGAAATAACCGAGGATGCAAAAAGCTTTGCAATTGGGAACAAGGCTCTTGCGGCTCTTTTTGTTCATACTCCAGCTGGCGAGCTCCAGCGTCAAATCCGAAATTGGCTTGCGGACAACTTTGATTTTCTCTCTGTTGCTGATGACACAGTAGCTGGCTCGACTGGACAGCTGGAGCTTCTCTCGACTGCTATAATGGATGGTTGGATGGCTGGTCTAGGTGCCGCTCAACCACCTAATACAGATGCTCTCGGCCAGCTTTTGTCTGAATATGGCAGACGTGTTTATACTTCTCAACTACAGCACTTGAAGGTATGTCCTTACCCTTGCTAGTGGTAACAATGGGCCTGACCGGGTCGTTTCGGACCGAGTCCACCGGGCCAAGGCTTAAACTAGGCATTCATTTTCTGTTGTTTAATCAGTGTCTGGCAGTCTTAGCAATTGTATTCTGTTGTTCAATCTGTGTCTGGCAGTTCATGATATGAGAAGTATTTTATTATTCTCTGCTCTTGACAATCTACTTGATAGGCTTGTTTATGAGTGATAAAGATTCATGACAGCGTGAATGCAATGTGCTTAATTTCACACACATGTAACTTTGCTATATTTTGCTATTATATATTTCCTAATATCTCATATTACACTGGTCACATCAGGATATTGCAGGTACTTTGGCCACTGAAGTTGCCGAAGATTCTGCACAAGTAGCTAAGCTACGTTCAGCTCTTGAATCTGTTGATCACAAGAGAAGGAAGGTCAGCGTCATATTGTTTCTTCGTTTGTCTTCTCTTTCTCTCCTAATTCTATTGATTTATATATTCTTTTGGACCACCTTCAAATTTTTGTCTAATCCTAATTATTGGCAAAACATGAGATTATTAATACAAGTTATTTCCAACCTCTGAAACTGTTTCTATCACCAGTTTATGCCACCTAAATTTGATAGATGCAATTATCTTCTGACCACGTAATCCAACATTTTAGTTTACTTTTTCTTTTCCTTTTCTTTTTCTAATTTAATGTCCAATATCGTATCCTTTTTGTGTAAACTTAATTCTGGAATAATTAAAGGCTTTTATGTCACGAGAACAGTGGAGAAGTACTGATTTATCAACCACGAATAGAGTTGGTCGACCAACACTGCATTTGCTATGTTTTGTTTTGTTTTAGCTCCTTAGGCAATACTGTAAAACCAGTATCGATAAACATAGACTCACTGCTAGAAAGGCTTAGGTATATATGGTCCATATGAATTTATTGTCTCTAAGCATGTCGCTGCTAAATTTCTACTGTGATTCAGATACTGCAACAAATGAAAAATGACATGGCGATGTTGAGTTTGGAAGATGGAGCCACACCCATTAAAAATCCTTCAACTGCCGCCGAGGATTCAAGGCTGGCATCATTAATTTCGCTCGATGGCATATTGAAACAAATCAAGGTTTTCTTTTTTGTCTTTCTCTATATTATCCTTTTTCTTTTTAACACTGCTGTTACTCTGAATGTTGGTGGAGCATGAAACAGGAGATTTGATTCTTTTTGCTTGAAACAGGATGTAACGAGGCAAACTTCTACTAATGTTCTGAGTAAGACTAAGAAAAGGCAAATGCTTGCATCTCTAGATGAACTTTCTGGGCAAATGCCTTCTTTACTTGACATAGATCATCCGTGTGCTCAAAGACATATTGCTGAGGCTCGTCAAGCGGTAGAGGTATGTGCAAATATTTTAATTTTTGTAGATGAAATTGAATTTCGAATTTGTCTGGTCGCCTTTTTGGGTCATTATTTGGCTGATGGTGGCTGATGGTGGCCGACAGTTAAGAACTTAAAACTGAAAGCTTTCTTCTTTCGTTCTTACTTGTTCTCCATTCTACTGATGTTAAGGTTGTTGTCCAGCAACAAACAATTGTCAGATGTTGCTAGGTAGACATACTTTTCCAGCAAATATGCCATGATTACATTATACAATATCGTACTTCGGAAAACATGTACAAAAATATGACTCGTCACAGTTTAAGTACACATTTATGTTCTGAAGTATGATGGGTCGATTGATCTGCCTACGATTAGGTGCCTCACAGCATACTTGTGCTTAACCCCGTATAGAACTTTCTTAGGCACCAATAAAATTATTTTTTATAGAAACATACATTTTCCATTTGTATTTTGTTCTTGACAAGCTTGGCCACATAGTTATGGTTCCTTTTTCATTA